TCATGATTCAGTTCGCTGTCTTATCTCAATCTTCAACAGAAATACATGTTACATATCAAACAAAATGAATGCGTGTTACTTCATGAAAAAAATTGACAATTTTTAATTAAAAAAAAAAAGACAACTTAAATACAAATGGTCTCATCTGTTTCTATCTATATACATAGGGAACACTACAAATATACACTACGTTGTTTACCTACATGTGGTTACTAATGAAAAAAATTATATACCTATATCAAGTTACAATATTTCAAATTCATTCCAAATCCATTAAAAAATTGATATATTTTCCTACTACCAAACTACTACTAATTTACGTAAAATACAATATACTAATAATAATAATATATAATATGTGAGATTAGATTAGACATACATTAATATATTAATGGCTATTTGTATTCATTCAACTACTAAACGTCTACGACGTATAAGTATTAATTTAACATGAATGAACATTGGAGTTTATTTTTAAATCGTCGACGCATTTTACAGCTCGCTGACGTTATATCGGATATCGTACTTTGTCGACGATATATAAATTAAAAAGAGTGGGCAGGTACCGACTTTAGTCACGAGGGAAGAAATACTGAACAAACAATTTACTAACGCTAAATTTTCTCTTGTTCTCATCCAATATGTACTATATATATATATAATACGTATATAGTAGGCATTAGTGCGTAAGTTTATTTATTTATTTATGTACAATTTTAAAATGTGTATATAAATATAGTATGAACCTTCTATATATCTTCTCTCTCTCTCTCTCTGCCAATACCAGGTTGTCAGTAAGAGATTGATAACAACGATAAGATCGTCATTTGTAAAACTTTTTTTTATTGTACTGCACTCATTGTTCTTTGTTTATCTATGTGCAATAAGCAGTTATTATTGTTATTATCGTTTCGTTTCAAGTATAGTGCATCAGTCTATTCATTAAAAATGTTAGGTTAGGTTAGTTAAGATATAGCGTTCATTTTCGAAAACACTAAGATTTTATAATATATAAAAATCTATATTTTTTTAATTTATGTTACACAGGATTTCTTAAGTCAGTGATAATTCATTTAAAAATATAATATTTTATGATTAAAGACAATTCGACCATTAAAGTATTATATATCTGATTGACACTGAACATATTTCTCATGAGTACGATCAGTGTATACTTTAATTGTCACATTGATAACAATGATATTTTATTTTTACTAAATCCAGTTTCATTCAATGCCTGGCATGTAACTTGGGTATGTAAAAAAAGGATAGAAATCAAGAAACTTAAATTGGCAATCACCGTACCTACTACTCCACAAATACTGCAGCTATCCTAATTAGAAATGATCTAGAATTTCTATTTGTGCTGCCACTTGAGATGAATTTATAATTACATACTGTAGATTACAAGCCACTCGAATCCGTGGCAATGATTGATAAATATATTCAAGAGATAATAACGTCAAGATCAGTACTACTAAAATTTGTGCCCGATCCAACAAACCAACATAGTAAACGACTAAATTCAATGTCGATTGCACATCGCTATAATTATTTATACCATGTTTACTGTCATAAATATAATGTTAGTCGCATTCGTACGCGAGTTTATTTATAAAGACGGTAGTATTTCGAACTGGCATCAAATTCGTTCATTTCTCATATTGTACTTATTATTGTCACTTTAAATGTATTTAAATCTTTAGGTCAGTCTTCTATTCTATCAGATGAATATCTGTATATACAAGAAATATGAATTGCCAAAGAGTGGAACACACTGCCACCTTTCGTGTTCCCGGAGAACTACAACCCCGGTTTCTTCAAGTCTATGGTGAATAGATATCATCTGGGTCAGCGCGCTACATCCTAGGTCTCGCCATCATTTCGCATCAGATGAGGTTATATCAAGCGTAAACTCAATAATAATATAAAAACATGACTATTCTATTAACTAGACTAGAATTGCGGTACGAGATACGGATAAGTACCTATATAGTCGAATATTACATATAAATAAAAAAAATTGTGATGACTATTCAAAAGCTCTTAAGTTTATTTGAATAAAATATTTCCTGTAATATTCTATTCTATTAATTGCATTTCAGCACATTTATTAAAATATAATATATGGTCAAAGGTCCTTGTGAAAAGTCCGATCATTGTATTCATACATTTAATTCTGAAGCCGTAAAAATTCTTATTGATACGGTCTTACTACCGATGTGTGATGTTATCAGTACAGTGCAAGGTACCACATCATATTATATCTAAGAATAAAACGTATGCAGTGTAATAATCCGATTCATAACATTCATATCAAATTTTATTTGCAAATGTAGTTGTATGGAAATCAGTAATTCAGTAGCTACTATTTTGGAAATAATGCAGATACTTAACATAATAAGAAAACGATATCATGTTGATTGAAGAAGTAAGAATTTTATAATAATGATAGTTAAGTAATGAAGTCAGCTCAAAATAGATCTAAATAATATTTTTAACCATTGGATGGTATGGATTAAGAACTGGCTTGCTTTAGATAACCATGAGTATCCTATATCTTTACCGTAAAAAGGAGACGATGTTGCATGTAACTTCATATTTATATATCGGAAGGGCATTCACCAGTAAATATTTGGCAATATTCACTGGTGAATTGTAAACATTGCACTACATTACAATACCATATTTATTACAAAGGATTATCCTTACCACGAAAACCAGATTATATGAAATAAACAAAAGAATAAACACAATATGTAACGAGTATAATATTAGCGCTGTAATTCAGTTGAGTCGATATCCCGAAATCCCAAATATTTTATAACATGCTATCCGTTTCTTTATTTACACACAAAAGTCTGGATTGTAACAACTTGGAATGCAATGCTTCCTAAAAATAACTGAACGATTGGAGTTTCAGTTCATGAAGATTGTGGGTGTTATGTTTTAATGTTGCATACAAAAGAAACTAAGTAATCAAATTAATATACCCATTTGGTTAACAATTTTTGTCTGTAACAAAATATGAATATTCAATATTAGAGATAATCTAATAATAAAATATTTGTTATAAATGCTTTATATTAATAAAAATTAATAAATGTGTAGTCATATATAATTTTCATTAAAGGCATGCAAGGGGACATAAAGTAGATCTATCATCACACGTTAACATGATATTCAGTAAATAAAAACACTAATAAAATATAAGTATGTACTATTATTATAATATACAATCAAGACTGCACAATGAATGATATCATCATCATTACATAGTATAAAATAAAGTCGCTGTCGCTGTCTGTCTCTATGTATGCAACGGATTTTGAAGCGGTTTCCTTTAATAGATAGAGTAATTCTAGAGGAAGGTTTATAATTATATACATGTACACCCAGGCGAAACCGGGGCGATATTTATGATGATTATTAAAATATTGGAAATATCTACAATGTATATATATTCTTTATTGCACTTTTAAATACAGTTCTTAACTTAAACATATACAGAATGTGTTCTTTATTACATTAATATAAAATTGGAAACGAACGGAGTCTGAATCCGCATATGTTATGCGTTGATTTTGGATATTTTATCTAGACTATTATTTGAAAGAGCGTGTTTATGAACAAAGAAAACACTGCATCATCGATAAAAAATATTTTCCTTGTATTTGTATTTTTATTGGTTGAAAAAACAATCCAATATTTATAAAACTAACTAACTAAAGATAAAGCTTTATTAATAAACCTATTCTGATTATTAAAGTGTTTTAGACAATCAATTAGGAAAATAACGCGAAAGAAAACTGCTAGACAGTAGTTTTAATAAACGTTTTACGTTTCTAGGAATAAGGGAGTTAATTATTAGTACTATTTGTTTCCATTTTGTATCTGGTTGAGCGAATAGCGGGTAACAATACAATTACCCACTCTTCAGATACCGTTTGTATAATTGAATCCAGAAACAATTACACTTGTCTATTACACACATTTCTGATGCAGAGTTAGTAATTCAAAAATGCTATTTGCTCTCTTCACGTACACAATGCTTGACACATTTTTAATTAAAATCGTATTCATGTTCGTTGAATCTGAGTCTGAATGAAGCTACCCACATGAAATTTAATCTGCGTAGACCAGTCAGTGTACAACAACCTAAATTTATCCATAGGTATTGATATAATGGGTATCGTTGGACGCATGTATTATAAAATTTTTGTATCCTTAAAAGGGCTACTAGAATCAGGAACAATATCGAACTAGTGGTGACAGTATATTTAGCTCGGGAGCTATGAGAAATCACCTCTGATTTCTAGCAATCCAGAATGCTTCACACCACTCCGATACTAGCATTGATTTTAGTGTCTTGTTATGTATTTTAATATCAGTGGCGTGTATTAGACACGTGTACTTTTATGCATAAAACTAGAAAGACAATAGGTAAGTTCATAACAAAACTGTTCCGGATATCATGTTTGTAAAATAAATTGAAGACGTATTATTTCTATTGTTTCAGCAGACCATGCAGCTGGGCTGTATTGTGTGCGGCTAGCTCCACTTATTGTTTCAGTATAAATATTAAACAATCTTTCATGACCATTCTCGTTAATTATAATTATTCTCGTACATTCACATACATTGTGTGTAAATTAACAATAAAACTCTATATTTGCTTAATGCTTTGCTTATTATATGAATATTCTTTTTAAATAGATTATTAAAAAGTAACACTGAAGGAGTCAATAGTTTCATAATTGCAATAGCGTAATTGTAGTCATTATCGACAATTCATTAACGGCTTATTGGATTATTGCCGCTTGAGATAATTTTCGTGAAACATTCAGCGCATAATGAATTTATTACAGCATAAATTGTTGAAGAGTAATAATAATGAACGAGCCTCAGAGATTGAGATGTACCTAATAACAGTATGGATTGCTTTAGAATAAATCATTTAATAATTATATTCAAAGTTAGTTGAAATCATTAGTACTTACATCTTCGGACAGTTCGTCTTCTTCGAAGGCAGATGACAAAGGCCTACCCCTTTGGGCGCGGCCTCCCCTCGAATCAAAGAGCTCGTCATGTTGAGTCTCGGTCTCGTCCAAAGCGTTTCTGATCCTGTTCTCGACGTCGGCCCGGATACGGTCACGGTCAGCCTCGGGGGTGCGTGTGATGGGCCCTTTCCCATCCAGCCGGTCGAGTACAGGACGATAATAACTCTCGCCCTTGTTATAGTTGCAGTCGTACACGCGAGTGCGGCGCGTTCTTCCTAGGCGACTCATTTCGACCCTGTAGATTGTAATCACTATTTTAATAATTAGGTATAAGAAATAATAATAAAATAGAAAAGCATAATACCTATTATAACTTAGATTAAATGACAGGGCTCGAAGTAGCTTATTAACCTTATTATGACTGGAAAAATCTTAACATATAAAAATTACGTGTCACGTTCTTTGTCCGCGATGGACTCCTAAACTACTGAGCCGATTGCAAATTTGACTCGCACACTGAGTGCAATTTGATCCAACTTGAAAGACAGGATAGCTTACATCTCAATTCATAGGCACAATATTATTTAACCTTAGTCACAGCAACGAGCAGCCGGGGCTGCTAGTATAGGAATATAATTTCAAATTAGTAGTAATAAAATATTCCAACCAAGAACTAAAGTAATATATTATAGAAATTTAATGAATGCTTAAATGTAATCAACAGTAACATTAAAATCTATGAATTAATTATTTGGTCAACTTATAAGTTATCTAATATATTTCAGTATATCTAATGAGGACAGAAATTTTTGAAAAACGATAATTTATTCACTATCCAGACTATTGCTCCGTAAATCATATATACCATACTATTATATAGTACAAGTGGTATTAGATTTTTTAAGGTTCTAATAACGAATTTTAAAGAAAATATTAGTATAATTATAAAGTGTACTAATGAAGTAATAAAAGTACTACGATTATTAACGTATTTAATAGAAAAACTTCAGAAAATATTTTTGTTGAGATTCAATATTTTTTACACGAGATAAGCGGCTGGCTGTTATGAAAACTTAATCGCTTAAGTATACTAATAGACTCTTGTGGCGCTGCAGATTGGCGGTAATAGAATTATGTTTAATCGCGAGATCTGAACCTCAGAATATTCTGTTCATTATGCATCAACCACGTCAAGTATTTTACTTAATAAAGAAATCAAGCATAAAGCCTTATATTAGTATAATTAAAAACTAAGAATGCTATTTAATTAAAAATAACGTATAAACGTAGTGTATGTATGTTATTGATCATATTACAACAACTACAAGGTAGTTCAAGCCAGCTGTGACTATGCAAATTGTTCTTGCATCTGAATGCATTAATGAAGTCGCATTATGTTTTCTGGCAGAGCACCATCCAGTATGTCTTCATCGCCGTTCATTGTATGGAATGACAACAAATTAAATAACATGTACGTTGAAAATGAAATAGATCTTTATTACTCATGTTGACAATAAACAATGTGATCATTTTCGTTACCACATTGTTGTTCATGTGCGTCTCTTGGCGGTAGTTAAAATTATATTGCCACAACAACGTCAATGATGTATTAGCTATGCTTTTTATTATATTATATGTATACTTCAGAAGAACTAATATGTAAATATTGAAGACATTTTAATGACATACATACATGTGACTTGTATCATATTTGTACATGTTTGTATATGCACCAATAAAATGGTTTTGTATGTATAAAAATGTTGCGAACTATTTACAATAAAAGTATTGGTTCCATATTAATAAGAAAACTGCCATATATGGTAAACGGCAACAGAAGAGGGTATATATCCTGTATAATGCAAGATGTTGTCTCTTAGACCATTACACTTCTTGTAAAAGCCTGATATTCTGGAAACTATCGTTGTCTTATCTTATTCGTTTCGTATTAATAAACATACAAGTTTTTAATTAAAGCAGTAAAAATAAATTCCCTTGACATATTTAGAGACTGACTCAATCTTGAAAACTGAAGAGGGCTTTCGACGTAATACCACCGCAACGTCGGAATTAGATACTTGACAAATTTCAAATAAACGATTTTGAATTATTCCGAATGATAATTTTATGAAAATAACGACGATTGCTAATGAACGTTTTGATTGATACCAAAGAGATATTTATAGTATATAGTTACAGGCTATGTAATTGTATCTAAGAAATTATATCATAATATAATACACAGTTTAAAATGTATATTTTGTAACTCTGAACACGATCAGTGACATATACATTATTTATAAGTTATTAAAGTTTATTGTTAATATTAGAGTAAACAAGGAATAGACATTGTCACACCTAACAACATAGAGACGTGTCCTAAAAAAATATTCGTCCGGTAACTTTAAGTAAAAGATATTTATTTATTTGTTTGCAGAATACAGTAGGAAGTAGAGATATATTACAAATAGAAGATATATAATATTATACTAGATAATATAATACTAATGTATTTTGATTACTACGATATTGATTTTATTTATGACATTACAATACAGATGGCGCTACTACTCGGTATCGATTAACAGGATAGCGAAATCAATGCCGATGTTTCATACTTTTTTATGGTTCTATATGGATTGGTGCACTCGCCTGGGCTAGAGGTACAAGCTGATCATTATAGGGCAATGGTAGAGAAAGATGGCAAGTCAATTAGCTTATTATAGCTTGAAATGAACTGCGCCAGTTTCTAGAAGGATCGATAACCCTAATAGCAGGCGGTTCTGTTTTTGAACATTTACACCTTAAAAAAATACCATACCCTTTTGTCCCCGACAGTGTATATTGTAAATATTAAATCAACAAAGATATTAGTTTATGTATGCGACTATATATTATCAGTAAAGGGGACTAGATTTCTCAAGTATCTGCTATCAGGCGGATTAATATAGTAATCCTCACTGAAAACTATCACAGTAAATTCTTAGCTATGATGACTTAACTGCTCTACTATTGGCCAATAATGATCAGCGTGTAGAGCAGGCGAGTACACCAGATAAAGCAATATGAGCATATTATCTATTATATGTAGTTACGTACCATAAACAGATTAAGGAGAGTATTTATTGTTTAAAGAATCGACCTACTTAATTCTACTACTGTTGTGTCCTAATACGTGTCAATAAAAAAAATTGAGTAACCCTGTTGAACGACTACATTAGCAAATTAAATTACCAAAATAATGTATAGTTTTTTCTAATTCATCTTAACGAAACATTACTACGGATAGAGTTTTAGTAAGTTTAATGATATAAGCATACACACTTACGCATGTGTATATGTGAACCCCTCTGCAAATTGCTCTATGTTATTTCGTCGTTTATTTCTATATTTAAATTACAAATATTGGTTTATTTTTCTTTTTATACCTTTTATTTGTAATCCCTTCGTAATTATAATAGTATTCAAAGCAATTTTATAACGTGTTTGTTTTTACTCCGCTGTAGCCTGTTTGTTTTATTCCAACCCATTTTTATTCCTTTTTTATTTCCGTAAAATGAATGGCATTTCAATTTAAATGTTACGTTTGAAAATTGAATTACTTTATTCTCTTACGTCACTATTTTAACTGATCGCGTAACGTTACTGTTATTTCTGTTGTTTGCTTTATGTTCTGTTTTTAATTCGTTAGGTAGACAATTTTATAGTTATTACGTCAATGCAGTCATAAACAAAGTGTCCATGAGATAAATAACAGATGGATACTCTGAAAGTTGTAAGATTAAAAAAATATATAATAACCGTGTTGTCAAAGAATAATCGTTTGTTGTATACGCCTAACAACAGAAATCTTATAAAAATAGAGGCAGTAGATTTTTTTTCTAACAAGGCTAGTAAGACCTGACTGAACTCTTGGCTAAGTTAACTTAAACGAAATGTAATTCTTGGCAACATATTCTAGAAAGAAAGAGTATGATAAAAAATGTTTCAATGAAATTATATAAACATATTAGTGTTTACATATATACCTAAATGACAAAACCACATGTCTGTGGTTATCATCCAACGACAATAAACTCTCAACGTACATTAGAATTTTCTCAATCGATATAATCATTAAGTCTTGATGGATTATCTATCTCGCGCACCGACGCGTGCGTCGAATAGTGGAACAATTTGAAAATAGAATTCGCAAACATTCGATATGGGGATATTTTTAGTATCGAAAACCCGGTTTTTGTCTTCACGACACGACGTATTGTAATATGCACTCCGATTCTTGAACGGCTCTAAAAATAAGCAATATAGGTATTAGATATTTGAAACATATAAATATTACCTACATTTTTAATTTGGAAACGGAATACGAATATGAGGGTAAAAAAAATATGATAGAAAATACTGTCGCGCAGCAGTGACAGTGGTGGTTACAAAGAAACTCGCGTAAGCGCGAAAGCAATACGGAAGTGTGTATTATAATAATATGTGGACTAACCTGGTGCGTGTACAGGCGTCGAGAAGGGAGATGGGACTGTCCAGCCGATGAGCGAGGAGCCGGCATGCGGCGTGCGGGCAGCGTGGGCGAGACTATGTTTAACCGTGAGCCACACCGAAATATACTGACTTTTGTTACGAATGATTTCCTTGTCTGAAAAGCACGATTTGCACCTTTTCAGGAAACACAGAAGCCGACAGCTTGTCCTGTTATCAGTAACGTAACATAATCATAATCGTCAACTACTGCATTGTCCTGATACACAGACCTAAAATCAGGGACGATGGCATGATGAGCCGGAAATGAATAATAAATTTAGAAATATGTATCTCACTAGTATTATCAACTATTATCTATAATATATATTCAAAAGCAGACTATATTTTTTATTATATACTAGTAGAGTATATATGCTAATCTTCATCTATTGATGATAATCTAACAACATCAATAAATTTTAGGCAGGTAGGCATGTTGAAAATTTTCACATAATTAATTATTTCTCACCCTTGGAGGACATTATTTTAGCTTTAAAATAAAATTGTCAGTTAATACGTAAATCGAGAGCAAAATATTAAATTAAATTACATTTTTGGTTCCATTTGAATATCAGTAAGTGTGGATATAATTTCAGCGGTCATGGATTACAGTAATCTTTTTATCATCCTACAAACGAATTTCTGATACAAAAGTAAAGTATCACCTTTTTATATCATAAAGGTGTAATACCTTTGTGATATAAAAAAAAGGTGATACTAACTGACTTACTCAATGAGTGAGTGTATGAAATGGCAGTTAAGGCATGATGCAAGTATATTCAAATATCCATGTCTATGTGGTAACTATTAATTTTTCATGGATGGACTTCAAATAGGCAGTGCTAACTTAACTGCGATAACAGAATACGTTGACAGGACACCAGTGAAGGATGATAGAATGAACATAAAGTAAAGTCTGTTAGTAAGTCATGGCGAATTCACGAAGAACTAACCACGAAGATTTACAGGTTGGCTGCGTCGAGATCGAGCGATAGCAATGTATCATACATTACTAACAATGAAGCCACTAGTCTTCATAACTATCTCGTCCATTCCTGTGGAGTAATGTATATATAGTGTGTAAATATGTTATTTTCAATTACATAAGGTAAAATATCTCTAATAGAATAATATGCAATAAGGATAGCGATAACATGAAATAGTAACCTACACTTGACTATTATAAACATCGTATTACAAGTATATGCTAGAAAGTAAAACACATCAATTGGTTTATATGGATGCAAGACTATAATGCTGTCAATTATTTATTTAGTTTTGTATATTAACAGTACATTAATAGTAAAATTAAGTATCAACATACTCGAACTAGAACGAACTAAATAGAGTAGCTAGGGTAGTTATAATTGCGATATTTCTGAGCTCGACCTAATAAAAGACCACTGTAAGAAATGAGTAGATACGTATTGTTCCGTACACCTTATAACCTTCTAACTTCCTTAATCTAAGCAGGTTGTATCATCGGCTTGCTTACTGGAGCAAAGAGCGCTTGGCAATACTGCCCACAATTAAAAACATGTGACAATTAAAATTATAATTTAGAAGAAAAAATCAATCTAAAATTAGAACAGAAGAAAAAGGACGCTCCATATTTTAACTATATTGAAACAAGGAAATTATTGTATTAATTAATATAATTGTTTCTATAAAAATATACACTCTAGAGTGCGTGGCCACTAAACAGTCCCTACACTACACATCGCATCGGGACGTTCCTGAGCAGAGTAAGTTTGGTGTTACTTTCCTTACTTTGGAGTATTCGGAGTGTGGTAGACGTTCTTCCTGGACAAAACCGTATTTCTTCCATTTCCATTATTAGTTTTTTTTTTTCAAAATATACAGCCCACTCTCTGTTTTTATTTATTCTTTATACAGATTCGTAATCCAACACATAATATACTATTTCCTACATACATAAAGATTAAGAAAAGCATAATTGAAAAATTGTTGCCTATCTTGCGAGATAATGACATCATTTAATATTAAGAATTTAGATTAACGATGTTACTTAAAAATTTAGGTACACAATAAATACTATAAAGCTATAGGTATGAAAGTGATGAGATGTAATTTTTAACAAATAATAAAAAACTGAATAATGTTTGTAAATAAAATAATTGCTTGCTAATACAGTTCGAGGGAAAAGGTATTTCCAATTAACTATACTTAAGATTTCAATACTATAATATCTTCCTTACGTTTTTTGTATTTCTTAATATTGATATACATATAATCACTTGCAACGATATCAATTATGTGGCATTACGATATTAAATATATGTTTAAGTAAAAGAAAATAATTGCTAAGCTGTTATTAGAACGAAATTGGTATATATATAGCATTATAAAGCTTAAATAACGAGGTACGAGTGTAAAAAAATGCGGAAAACTCATATGAAATAAACATTCAGAATTATATCTGCGCAATTATCGTTATTTTCATAACAAAAAAATAGATGAATCCGCTTAGACTCTTTATAAGAATTATTGAAATGGAGCCTTTTCTGACTACCTCATTAGCGACATATCTTATATATTTTTTATCGAATATTTTTCCTATTGATATAAAGTTATTAAGTACTCTTCCTTCTACCATATATTGATATAAAATATTTTGTATACACATAAAGTTGCTTTTTGCGGAGCAAAATCGTAAAATATGTCAGACAATAATATGTCATTCCCTCGTATATGAAGATACTTTTACAATCAAGTAAGTTACTATTTGCTGACACAATGGAAATAGAATTGAAGACATAGAACTATTCCACTGTTGTGAAGCCGCACCGCATTGTGCACTGTGTTGGAATATAGACGGTAAATTAGTAAGTTAGTCCTGTTCACTTACAAGCAAATACAGAATTCCCTTTGAGGTTATTGTCGATATTCTATATATAATCTTAAGTTTAATTCGATTGAATGCATAGCGTTGTTTTCGACGTTATAAGTTATTCCAAAGTGTCGTGTACATTGTTTGCTTTACGTTAGATTATATGTTCACAATTATAGTAATATGCAACTATAAGTTCATTATTTAAATGATTAACCGGGTCTTAACTTGAATAATTTTATGGCAAATAACGGTATTTACCTATCTCGACGTTTCGACTAGGTTGCTCTAGCCGTGGTCACGAGTTGACTTGAGCAACAGCTATATCAATGCGGACAGGTGACAGCAGTTTTTTCATCTCAATCACAAGATTGTTAGGACCCGTGTGAATAATTTAATTTTCACTTTTATGTATATTAAACACGAAAGTTTAAAAAATAAGTTCGTATCGAGAACCACTTAGCGTGCGGACACGTGATTGAAAAATGGTAATTGTACACGACAAACATGGTAATTGTAATCCATGACTATAGATCTGTCTATGGATGTTTCATAGAAAGCACTATCCATAACCAAAACTAGTAAATGGGTGATATTATGTGCACCTGCTTAAAAAAATAATTGAACAGCATATTTCGGCTCAAGAAAGGATGATATTAATTATCTGAAAAAACATTAAGTACTATTAAATAAGAAATGTCCAAACAAGAATAAGAAGAAATAAATACTAATCAGAACACAAGATCTAACAAATTATTTCTTATATTTTAGGATTATATAGAAACTCGAATATAGAAATATCATACATAGATATGGAAGCTCTCAATATCGATATTCAAAATATAGGTTTTATACCTATGAAACTCAAATAAATATTTGGAATTCTTTAATATGAAAAACGGCACTGATCTGTGGACACACATCTCGTCCGTAATATATCATATACCTCGTTATACTTGTTATACATTTGTAGCACACATTTTTCTCTGTTGTTTGTTTGTCTGCCATTTTGTATTAAACATTGTTATTAAGTGGTTCTGGCTCTCTCTTTTTCATACTCGGGCTATGGAACAGTAGCGGTATGATCGATAATGGCATTAACTATGAGTAAATATTTAGCTTTGAAATAAATTATACTTCAATTCACTAACCTTGAATAAATAACAAATATAACAATAAAATATATTGTTGCTTATTATTATTATGACACCTTATTCCTTAAACTCTTACATCAGCAAGATTTTACTAGTCCTATATTTAGTAATTTTGCTATCTCCTCATACATATTTCAAACCGGAACACAGCATGCATGCAAACTTAGGCAGCCAAATTAATAGGCGAGACAAAGCCACCCATCCATGACTTGTACAAAATCTCACTCTTGCAAAATATTCAAGGGAAAGGCATCATTCTTATATTTAAGTAAATTAAATGTTCTCTCAACTATATTTCTACCTGTAAATATAGTCGAAACAGAGTAAATAATTAACCATAGTAGTAAACTTTAGTCGATTAGTTAATTTCGCAAAGCATATTATATGAATAAAACTTGGTGCGAACAGGCTTTACCGCTGTTTCATGAATAAATTAAGCTTCTTAATACAGATTATCATCACTTAGTGAGTCTGAGTCTATAATTAGTGCATGAAATGCTTTATATAAGTTACATTATTATTATTACCATTAGTCCATCTATATGTTATAATAATTGTATTTGTATTATATTAGCGATTTATTACTGCCCTAGAGAAAACGCTAGTCACTATTTAAATATATTTAACAGATATGTTATTTGTGTAATTACCTATATTTGTATGCATTTTCTGATAAATATGTAATGTCTCTGTTTGTTTTACGAACGACTATAAATCTCTAATTCCGCCATATTCATTATTTGTACATTCAAGGTTTAATACAGTAATTATGCAGCGAATTTTTACTGTTTTTAATTTATTTTCCAGTAAACGGGAAAAAAACTATGATGTACAATATTGCTTAGAAGTTTAATAAAATACGAGTATGATGCACCTGTGCTTGCCTTTGTATTGTTACTTATTGCAATATTGCAGATGAACCTGGGTAGCCATTTCCCCAACGCAATATTTTTCTGCATTTAGACGTATACTTCATCATGACAAACTATTTTCATTCCACTGGAGGTAAAGGATTTATATTACTACTAATGACATGCCTCGGATCCTCTCGGATACTCAT